TGCATGATTTCTCCAGGGAAACAACAGTCCCTACCTCTTCAGAGCTGATTTATATAAAGTATTCAGGCAGGGTAAAAGGGTCTTTCTAGTATCTGCAACAATTAAAATGATCCAGTATGTTCAAAGAAGACAAAAAATACCATCAACGGTGCAGTAAAAAACAATAAAGGGAGGGCCAGAGATATAGCTCAGTGGTACAGTGTCTGCCTGGCAAGTACAAGGTCCTGAGTTCAATTCCTGGCACCAAAATTAATTAATTAACTGTATTAACAAAATTCAGAACAAAGTATGAATGGGTAATAAACACAGAAAACTATACAAAAACAGTGGGATATAATTAATATCCTATGCACCAACTGGATGGAACCTAGGGCCTCAAAGACGCTACTTAAAGACTTTACTACTGACCTACCCCACTCCCACCCCACATTCACTTAACAAACACTAAACCTCAGCCTCTCACATGCTCCCAAGAGGCCAGAGGACATGCCACTAATGATGAGCCATCTTTCAAAGGAGGTGGTAGAGTCACAAGCTGCTCCCAAGTCCTCAGGTGGATGGACACGGAACTTATGGGGTACCTAGGGATCAATTTGCAAATGTGTAGAGGGCACAGGGCTCAAGGCAGGTGGGGGGGGGTTAGATAAGGAGGGGAACTAGCTGTGTCAGGTTTTTCTACAAAACCTGAACTGTACAGTCAGGAGTGGTGGTGCCCACCTGTACTTCCAGCACTCTAGGAGGCTGAGGCATGAGGATCAAAAGCTCAAGACCAGCCTGGGTAAACTCTACAACCTCAGACACCATCTCCAGAAACTAAGAACAGCCTTATATAAACACTTTAATGGAATGCAGGTTTAGGAGGTCACATTATGTCCCTTGGTCTTTTCACTGCTTTTAGCTTTAAACAAAAAATAAGCCTTTAAAAAACCTCCATTGTGTGTTAAACACCAGGTAATATGTATGATACAGGAAGCTCCAGTGACATTTTTAGTATATGTGCTGCTGAAGGGAACATTTCAGTAACAACTTTTAACCAGTGCATTGGTAGAAAAAGCTATTGATATTATGTATATGAAAAACTGTCTAATATTCATTAAAGGTACATTTACTACACAGTACTGTACATAATTTTTAGCTGAAAAATTAGCTATCTGTACATACACGTAATTCCAAGTTTAACACACTGTTATGTGAAAATATATTACTGAGGAACCCGACAAGCTACTTTTAAGGTGCTGTCATATATCTTGCAGTGAACGGCAAAAATCATTTTAACCATTATTATGGAAAAGTCGCAAAGGCAAAATTGGAAGGTTTTGTTTAAATTTTTCCTTTCTAAAGAGCCCTATTCAAACATGTCTAAAGCCTCTGAAAATGTGTACATAATAAAGCTGATCATATTTTGCCACAATGTGCAGGTGAAAAAACAATACAAATAAAGGGTGGCCGGGGATGCAGTTCGGTGAGAAAGCCATGGTTTCAATCTCCAATACCAAAAAACCCCACCCCTAAACCGAGTTTGCGCCTGGTGCAGAACGGCACAAACGGAGGATCAGAGAACTGCTATCTGGAAGACTTAGGTCCCGAGCGGCCGAACCCCCAGGGGCGACCCCCAGAGGTGGCGAAGAACCCCAGCCAGCATTTATCGGACTTACGCGCCAGGGCGGGGCAGCAGCGGGGGCGGGACGTCAGAACACGCCGTGACGCACCTTGACGTCATGAGACGCGACGTCGCCCGGCGGGTAAGGGCGGGGGCGGACGATCGGGCACACGGCGCCCCCAGCGGCCGGCGGGGCTGCGGGCGTCGGGCTCCGGGCCGGGCGCGCGGCCCTCGCGGGCTGGGGCTGGGGCTGAGGCAGGGACAGGGGCCGGACCTGAGCCAGGGTGCGGGCAGGCCCCATGCTGCTGCCGCTGGCTTGCCTGCACGGGCGCGTGGCGCAGTGCCTGACTTCACTGCTGGTGCTCGCAGAGCCGCTCCCCAGGCCCCGGCGCGGCGGGAGGGCGCGCAGCTCGGTGCCGACCTGCGCGGAGGTCTCCGCCGCCGCACCCGGGAAGATGGCTGCGGAGCTCTACCCGTCCGCCGCCGCCGCCGCCGCCGCCGCCAGTGACCTAGCCAACAGTAA